CCCCTGTATGTATACACGTCCCCCTTCCTACTTTCTTTTTTTTTTCCCTACTTTCTTTTCTCCTTTCCCTCCTCTCATTTGTTCCTTGCCTTTGAGCAGTTTCTTTCCCTTTCACAGTGTCTATCGTACTTTTCATATTTACTCTTTCAGGTTCTTACACTAGCGACACAATGGGACATTTACACATGCGGATCTGATTTATTTCACTTATGAGAATGGGCTCTAATTGCATCCATTTGCCTATAAAATTCCAAACTTATCTTTTTAATAGGTGAGTAATACTCCATTATATAAAAATTCTTCATCATTTTTATCCTTTCTTCAGTTGATGGACATTTGGGTTCCTTCCAAGATTCAGCTATAACAAATTGTGCTGCTATAAACCTGTGCGCACATGTACCACTGTGGTATGATGTTTTCAGTTCTTCTGGAAAAATAGCCAGAAGGGGAATAGTTGGGTTGAATGGGATTACTAATCCTAGTTTTTAGAGGAATCTCCATGCTGATTTCCATAGTCATTGTACCAGTCTGTACTCCCACCAACAGTGGACAAGGGTTCTTTTTTCCCCAAAGTGTTGGCATAAGAAAGAGTTAATATAGAGACATGCTAAATAACCTGAAGGGCACGTGGGAGGAGGAAAAAAGAAAACAGGGCAACAGCTGCAGGAGCAACCAAGAACACTTGGTGCTCAAGGACACCCTGTTTTTGTGTCCTTGCTCCCAGATGCCTAGCAGGTTCTCACGTCTAGTATAGCCTAAACATTAACCTTGGACACATATGATGGGATCTTGTTATGTTCACGTAAAGTAACCTGGAGGCTGAGACTCAAGCTATATAAAAATAAAGACTAGAGGCAGGGCGACAGACTGTTTGCTCGAGCCCTCGCTTTGCTTGCACTGAGTGTCTGTGTGTCTTTGCTTGCGGCGAGCGCCCGTGAGTCTTTCCCAACGCCAGAGTCCCTCCAGCATTGTTACTGGCTGACTTCTTGACATTAGCCACTCTTTCTGGGGTAAGATGCAACCTCAGTGTTGTTTTAATTTGCATTTCTGGGATGATCAATGGTACTGAACATTTTTCATATATTTAATTGTCTTTTGTATTTCTTCAGCTGAGAAGTGTATATTCATCTCAGGTGCCCACTGATTGAATCTTTGAATTTTGGGGACCTGAGTTTTTGTTTTGTTTTGTTTTTTTTAGTCTTTACATGTTCTAGATAGAAGTACTTTGTCGGCGGCACAGTTGGCTAATATTGTTCCCCAATTTATGGGTTTTCTGTTTACTTTGTTGGTGATTTCTTTTGTCATGTAAAAACTTTTCAATATGGTGAGATCTCAGTTATTGATTCTTTGAAGCATTTCCCATGCAGTCCGGTATTCGTTTATGAACTCTCTGCCTAGCCCTATGTCTTCAAGATTTCTCTTATGGTTTAAAAGTTGAATTATGATCACTATGAGATGTAACAAAAAAACAGGGTGAAAGTTTACATTTGTAAAACTTGGGCTGGAGAGATGACTCAGTAGAATAAGTGCTTGCCTGGCAAGCACAAAGGCCTGAGTTCAATCCCTGGTTCTGCCAAAAAAATTTTTTTTTTTTGTAAAACTTGTGTTACATTAAAAGAGTCATTGCCTTTAACTTCCCTCAAAATTCTTCCCATTGTTTTGAGCCCACATATTTCATCCTTCTGGCCACTGTCTGAGGCAGTCCTGGAGGTCCCCTTCTGTGGGTGTCTCCAGTTGCTCTACTATGGTTGTCTGGATGCACTAAATCAATTCAAAATATTTAGTTTTCATGGTCATTTTAATTTGGAGAAAGACTCAGAAGTTACCTACTCTAGATTTGGTGGAAAAAAAAGTAGATGAGGACAAACTAGAGTGTTTTATTCCATTTAGTCCTTTCTATTGACTGCTACTTAGCAGCATTCACTAAAGATTTGATCAGGCCTTATAAAGACACTCATTAAAGAGGACTTCCAGAACTGTTTCACAAAGTGGTAAGTACAGTGGGTAAGTGTGTTCAAAGCAAGGGGGAATATGTTGAGTGCGATTAATCCCACCATATCTTTTACTACAATAAATTTTAAATTAATCATTGACCATATATTTGGATATACTTGGATTTCACACATCTTATATATACTCACTTCATCTAGGAAGTCAAAGAATAAGATGTTTCCCTTTTTCTTAAAAACAAACTAGCTCTCCAAGGAAGATATATACATGGCCAATAAGAATAGAAAAAGATGCCGAACATCATTAGTCACAAACAAAATGTAAATCACACCTCAGTATTATAGGATTCACACATGCCAGGCTTTAAAATGTTTAAAACAACCATGCTAAATGTAGGAGAGGATGTAGAGAAGCTGGAATCCTCATATGCTGGCGGTGGAATGTAAAAGGATGCAAACACTTTGCAAAACAGCCTGATGGTTCCTGAGACTGTTGCCCTTAGAGTTATGATATGACCCAGTGTTTCTCCTCTTTGGTGTGCATCCAAGATAAACAAACACATACACCCTCAAGCGATCACAGGCAATATCCCAAAGAGACGAAAATAAAAACGAAAGATATTCTTACATAGACTACAACATGGGTTAACATTAAAAATACTGTGTTAAATCAAAAAGGCCAGTCACAGTAAAACACATCTTCTATTAATTCATTTACATGAAATGGCCAGAATAGGTAACTCTATAGAAACAGAAAGTACATGGGAGGAGCTTCTGAGGACAGAGAGTGTGGTCTGGGAAAGGAGAATGACTTCTTTTGGCACAAGATTTTTTGGAGTGACAAAAAGTTTCTAAAATTAGATTATGGTAATGAGTGCACAGCTCCATGAGTACACTAGAGACTATAGAACTTTGTGCTTTGAAGGGGTACTTCATGATGTATGAACTGTATCTTAATAAAGCTGCTCTTTAAAACATATAGTAAGAATCAACCTCATATCTCTAATGTTAATATAAATGACATGGGTAACTTTTTTTTGGCTTTATTCTGGATTCAACTGTCTTCTTCCTGAGGTAACAAGTTTTTCAGCAAAGATATGGTATGGTGAATTCTCACAGAATAAGTGTGCTTAAAAAGTGTCTTTACTTTTCACTCCATTTCTTTTTTTCTGTCTTTCTTTCTATTTATTTATTTGTGGTGGTACTGGGAACTGAGCCCAAAGCCACACTGAGCTACTTCCCCTTTTTGATTTTCCATTTTGACACAAGATGAAGCTGAGCCTGAATTTGTGATCCTCTTGCCTCAGCCTCCCAAGAGCTAGCATAATCAGCATGTGCCACCATGCCTGGCTGTTTCCCATCCTTCTTAAATTATCCAGGTATAAAATCCAGGCAGACAGTACTTTCTCCTCCACAATACTCAAATACTATTCAGTTTTAGTTCTGGCTTCTAAATATAATATTGTGAAGTCTGCCGTCAGCTCAATAATCAACTCCTGGCAGATGTATCATTTAGAATCACATCTGTCTGAACAATAGTCTCAAAATTGCAGTAGATTAAACAAAATAGAGGTTTGCATCTCTCATATATAAAAATCTGGACGCGGCCATTTCAGAACTGACTTAGCAGCTCTGTTCCACAAAATCTTTGGTTTTTGCTCTGTCAACCTTCGAGTGTGAGAATTATCCTTCTGGTCCAAGATGGCAGCTAGAGCTCTGAGCATCATATTTATGTTCCAGGCAGCAGGACAGAAAAAGGATAATGAGGGAAAGGCACACTGGGTGTACAAAAGCCCCAAGCAAGTTTCCACACTTTCACCTGATAGCTCTGGTTCCACGATATTCACAAGAACTTAGCTACATGGTTACCCCAGCTTCAAATAAACCTTGGAAATTCACTCTGTTTTAGTGTGTGGGTACACAGGCCTAGATAAATGTGTGGCTCTTTCAATATGGAAGAGCTACACCTGCAGTGCCAGACACCAGTTCTTAACCTGCTTTTGTTCTCCAGTTGTCTATAGGATTTTCTCATTGTCATATTCACTACGTCTCTAGCAAGAGTTTAACTTTCAGTGTCCTACTTGAAACAAATTAAGGCTCGTCAATCTTCAGATTGACACATTACTAATCAATTCTGGAAAATTCTCAGCCATTAGATGACCAGGTATTACCATTTCCATATACTCTCTGGTCTTTCACTCTAGAATTTGTTATTTGATATGCGCTAATGTTTTCAGCCTATCTTCCATACTGCTTAACTCCTCTGTCACATTCACCATCTCTCAGTGCTGCACTCTGGACAATCTCCTCAAATGTATTTCTTTTTTGTGTGTGTGTGGAGGAACTGAGGATTGAATTTAGGCCCTTTCACTTGTCAGGCGAGTACTTATTCTCCTGAGCCATCTACCTAGCCCTTCTTTCTCCTGACTCATTATTGCTCCCACTAGCTGGATCCAGCAAACCTGGATAGACTATGTCTGTGTTTTGTTTTAAATGCTACTTTTTACATGTCTTGATGCTCATGATTTCAATTCTTTTTATATCTTCTTTTGGTCCTTAAATATATCTAGTCTATGTTTTCTTTTGCTTAGTCACTGTCTCGGGTTCTTGGGGTTCCGATCTCTGTGCTCACTCATGCTCCCTATGTGGACTGCTCATGAGCTGCACTTTGGGAGGGCTCAAGGTGGGATAACTCCTTGGGGTCTCCCTGATTCCTCACAGCAGGGGGAAAGCTCTAGAACAAGCACCCCCCCCGGCAGCAGGTGGAAGTTACACCACCTTGACAGTCTAACTTTCCAAGTCACACTGTGTCACCTCTGCTGCAGTTATGGTCCTCAGGTCCAAGGGAAAGGCTACCAGCTTCACATTTCAGTGGGAGGCTTGTCGGCGTCACAGTGTAAGAAGAGCATGTGGGATGGGAGCTGGAGATACAAATATTTTTAGAAAACAAAATCTGCCATATGTTTTAAGAGTCTGAATATAAGCAAAGTCTCATATCCAGCTCCCCACACTGCATAATCCAAGACTTTATCCTTTCCCATTCAGGTATTAAAGCATGGGACATCAGATGCCATGAACTCAGCAGCACCATCCCCATGCTACAGAGGTGCAGGATAGGGGGTGTGTGCCCCTCACAGCACTAATCGTAAGTAAGTCCTTCATGCCTGGCACCTCTGTATCCCTTTATTGCAAATCTAAGTGTACACTGACACGTATTTTTAAATATTTTATTCAACATGCTTATCAAAATGAGAAAGCCTCCAGGTTAACCTAGTCTATCTCTTACTGGAATCAGAGACTTAAATTTATTCAGAAGAATGTACAATAAGAGGACAGAGCAGGAAGTACACAGAGCATAATTAAGCCTTGTCTTCCTTGTTCTTTTGGGGGTCACACTACACACAACATTTTCTAATCAGATTTTTAAATTACATAAATTTATACATATGGAGCATGGAGCAGGTATTTGTTGTGATCTTCCCAGGTGGTACCAGAGTTCCTGTTAAGGCAGCAGAAAGTGGTCTGTGCTTAGACAATCAATCAATCAATCAATCAATCAATCAATCAAAAGGAATAGAAGGTAAGCTTCTAAGGACAAGGGACTCAACATACGCCACTGGAATGAAGGGATGGCAAAAATCTGCTTTGATGAGAAATGTGAGGAATGTCATTTCACTACTGAGATTGAAGTGGAAGAGAGACAAATCATGAATCAGATTTTTGGGCCACTCCAAGAATTGCTGATTCAGCAGGCTTGAGGTAGGCCTCAAGAACCTGCATTTCTGGCAAGCTCTCGGGGCCCCACACTGAGGACCACTGAGCTAGGCCGTTGCCTCCAGGCCACTCACAGATAGACGTGGAAGAGCTGCCGCTGTCAATAGACATCTTTACTGGGATAAGCAAGCAACAGAGGCTCAATCCTTGAATATTCTTGAATTAGGATCTAGAACTCTAGGCAAGAACTGAAGTTTCTAGGAATAATTAGGGCTAAGAAAAATCATGAAATTTCCAAATCTTTTTTTTTTTTTCCCATTTTTAAATTTTACTGAGCTATCCCGGGCCTACCATGCCTGCCCCGACCCCAGGACACACAGAGACAGCAACTGAGACTCGGTGTGGTGGTGCATACCTATAACCCCAGCTCTTGGAAGGCTGTAAACAGGCAGATCACTTTGAGTCTGATCTAGTAGTGAGACCCTGAACACCCTATAGACCCTTCTCTAAAAAATAAATAAATAAATTTTACTGAGCTAAACTTGACATATAATAAAATGCACTGTGTGTGTGTGTGTGTG